TGGGGTTCTTAAGTTGAATCTGTATGTAAGTCAGAACTGGTGGTCAGTTTCAGCAGCGGCTGAATCTGGATGCCAGTTCCGACTTACATACAGATTCAACTTAAGAACAAACCTACAGTCCCTATCTTGTACGTAATCCGGGGACTGCCTGTATACAGAGGAACCATGTTGGGCTGAATCCGAGGTGCATGGGCAGGTTTGTGTGGGATCTGCAGGAGATGCTTCAGGTCAGGACTTAAGTATCTTGATAGAACTTCAGAAGGAAGTTTGCATATGTTACCTGTACTATGGCCCTGTCTAGTCCTCTCAAGCTCATCTTTCATGAGTGGCACATGAGAGGGACTGGTGGTGGTAGGAGGGAATTTATTGGTGTTTGTGTTAGCAGTAATACTGGTATTTCAGTAATGCAGTGGTATTCAACTGTATTACCAACAAAAAGCTATAAGCGAATCGTGTCTCTGTTGCACTTTTCTTTAGCTCTGTTCCTTTCTATTCTGCTCTTGGTGCTGTTGAAATCAGCTTCCTGCTTTTCAAGAAAGCTCTTCTCCTCTAGACGCTAATACTCTTCCTCTGAAAGAATTATTTTTTATAAGTCTGGAGTCAGTTTCTTGGCTAGCTATAGGCTTTTTCTGACAAGCTAACATGACAAGCTAGGAAAGCAATATCATCATCATTTTGTTTTGTTATCACATTGTGCCAATATTGCAACCAGATCTGCAGACTGCTGCACTCAAATCATTTCTGTGACAAGTGTGTGACTGAAAGGCTAAGCGGTGAGTAGGTTTTAGACTCTGAAGATCTAGGTAGTTGCTAAGGTAGGGCTTAGTTCTTAAAACTAATTAAACGCAGTATTAGGAAACAAGCAATTGTTGTACTACACTATTATTAGTACAGTGTGCTCCGGTAGCGCTCGTTCATGCCCATTACAGTATATAAACACTTATGGTGTTTGAAGTAACTATTCTTTGATTTAAAGGCATACATAATTAATTGTTTCAGTAGTTTATAGCCATGGAACAAATGGCAAAGGTAAAATTTACATTAAGCAGCTAGAGGTAGACAAGTACTTAGATGGCTCTAGTAATAGCAGAAAGAAGCTATTTTGATATTTTAATATTAGTTGTGGAGATAATCAGAGTAGCATGATATATCTGAGGACTTTATATGCGGTAAATATCACTATGGATATCCAAGAACTTAGGTTTGATTTTAAAGTTAGGTGCCCAGATTCCTAGTCTGTCTTGAAAATCCCAGCTATAAAACATTGGGCCCAAGTGTGGTAACCACTAGATAAAAATACTTATAGTGAGAACATCTCTGGGTTTTTTACTAATATTCAGAAGAAAGTGGTAAGGAAGGAAGATGACAGGACACTACTAAAATGGTAGTAGTTGTGAAG